TCTTCACTCTATAAACTGTATTTATTAATTTTGATAATTTTATTGTCTAATAATTTTTCAATTATATTTCTTTGTAATGTAAACTACATTTATTAATTTTGTTAATTTTATTGCTCAGTAATTTTGAAATTTTACTTCTTCACAATATTATTTATATTTATTAATTTTGATAATTTTATTGTCTAGTAATTTTACAATTTTACTTCTTTGCTACACGAACTACATTTATTAATTTTGCTAATTTTATTGTTTATAAATTTTACAATTTTACTTCTCCACTATATTTGCTATATTTCTTAGTTTCAATAATTTTATTCTATTTACTACATTCACTTATTTTATTAATTATACTATATTTACAATATTTACTACAATTATAATTTTTCATCAAAATATAACTATCTTCTATCAATAAATCAAAATATATCAAATAATCATAAGCAATCCGTGTTTTTAAATCCTGTCATCTAACATGCAAAAAATAATAAAAATGAGATGTTTAATTCTGTTCTCTTAGCGTCGTTTATCTTTTCTATCTGGTATAATTTATTTTCCGCATAATAGCTTAATATATTACGAATCGCAGAGGGAGACACATACTCCTGTGGCATAATAATAACAGAGCTAAGCCGTGGCCTTTTGGCGATATGGCATGAAAATAGAAGTTACGTTGAATAAAATTGCGCCGCTCGTAAAAGCGTAACGAAATTTTCATTAGGGTACATAAAATAGTGATTACTCTTTACGGTTATTTCAATCGGTCTATGTTTAAATTTAGAATTAAGATATTCTGATTATATCACATTTCATGCTTCGGGACTTTATGATTTGCTTAGCTTGGGATTTAACGAGTTTAGAATTCGGGAATTTAGGGATCTAGTGATTTTAAGATTTGGTAGTTTTAGAATGTGGGAATCTAGTGATTTTAGGATTTGTAAAATTCAGAATTTATAAGTCTAGTAATTTTAAGTTTTAGGGGTTTAAGAATGTCGAAATCTAGTGATTTTGGGATTTGTAAGATTCAGAATTTATAAGTCTAGTAATTCTAAGTTTTAGGAGTTTAAGACTGTGAAAATCTAGTGATTTTGGGATTTGTAAGATTCAGAATTTATATGTCTAGTAATTCTAAGTTTTAGAAGTTTAAGAATGTGGAAATCTAGTGATTTTAGGATTTGTGAAATTCAGAATTTACAAGTCTAGTAATTCTAAGTTTTAGGAGTTTAAGAATGTAGAAATCTAGTGATTTTAGGATTTGTGAAATTCAGAATTTACAAATGTAGTAATTTTAGATTTTGGGAGTTTGAAAATGTAGGAATCTGGTAATTTTGTAATTCTAAATTACAAACATTATAAATATTCTAAATTACCAACATTATAATTATAAAATTTAAAATTTCATAATTTATATATCCACCCATCTGACAACTTCAAAATTCGATTACTGAAAAATTAAAAAATTATATAAAACCTATTACTATCTATCGAAACAATTCAGTAGCATTCCCCGAATTATTTCAATACATATCGCAAAACTACGTTGAATAGAATGAACCGAAAACGTCTGATATCCGTGCCAAGCATAAAACATCCTCAGATTTAAAATGTCCGAGAATTTCACTCTACGACACGAACGCAGTAGACAATGATAAAGTTATAACAGTCTTTTTCGTTGTCGGTGACACACGACCTCGAACAACAAGTCCTTTCCGCAATAAAGTTTAACGCGATGGTTCCGTTTTATTGCGCTCGTCGGATGTGTTACGTAGAGGGTGATATCCACAGGGTGCCTCAAAAGGGATGTACATAAAAATCATAAATTGTTCGAAACAACAGAAATTGAAAAGTTCTTTATCATCACGTTCCTAAAACCGGTGGAACCTCGTAAAACTTAGATGCTATCGTAAAATATCCTGTGAAATTATACCTTCGGAAATTAAGCCATTAATATCGAGGTGACTCTGGTCGTTAAAGTTCAAATGCATAAATCGTATTTGCATAAAGATTGTTTTGAGCGCGATAATAATTTTAATTTGTATGATTGAACACTGCTAAATGTAGAATATACCTAATATTTCCACATTCTTTATTTCTAACACTTTTATCTTTAACAGTGAAGTAATAAGTACAGATGTCAACCCAAGAGTTGATGACCTAAAGTAAAAGAAACCCATCATCAACACTTCTAGTTACATTTTGGCAAATAAGAATAATAATGACAATAACAACTGCTGAACGCATGAAGCACTGTGTCACTTACTCTCGAAACGTTTGCTGACTATTATTTGAAGGTTAGGAAGCTTTGGAATAAGGCCATTCGAAGTTTTGAGAAGACCGTTTTGAAATTTGGAGCTTTAGTTTTAGAAATTTTGAATATTCGAAGCTTCAGAATTTGGAAGATTGAGAGTTAAGAGGGTTGAATGATCGAATTTAGAATGATCGAAATGTGCAAAGGTTAGGACTTTCAGAAATTGGAATTCAGGAACGTTAGGACATTGGAAAGCTGAAACTTTGGGTGATTCAAACTTTGGAAAGTAGGGACATTGGAAGGTTAGAATATTGTAAGGTTGGGACTTTTAAAGGTTGGAACATAGGGAAGGTTGGGACTTTGGAAAGTTGGAACAGTGGAAGGTTGGAACTTTGAAAGATTGAACCTTTGGATGATTCAAACTTTAGAAGATGAGTACTTTGGAAGGTTAAAACATTGCATGGTTGGGACTTTGGAACGTTAGAACTTTGGAATAGTGAAACTTGAGAAGAATAATAGTAGTAATTCTTCTAAGCACGTGGTTCAGCTTCTTCAGGTGACAATTCGTGGGCTGACATTGATAGATCACACTTGAACTGTGTGCGTCACGAGTGCGTCACGAGTGCGTCATATTGCAAAGCAATGGGTTAATACAACAATTTGAAATAAATATTTCTTAACGAAATCTATCAATTTAAACTTTAGAAGGTTGGAACTTTAGAATGTTAAAACATTGCAATGTTGGGACGTTGGAGGGTTAGAACTTCGGAAGATTAAAACTTTGCAAGGTTGGAACTTTAGAAGGTTGAAACTTTGGAACGTTAGAACTTTCGAAGGACGAAACTTTGGAAGGTTTAAGACTTTGGAAGGTTGGAACTTGAAAAAGATGAAATTTGAGAAGGTGGAAATTTTGGAAGGTTGAAAGTTTGGAAGATTGTAACATGAGGAGCTAATACTTTCAGAAGGTTAAATTATTGGATGATTTAAACGTTGGATGGTTAGAACATTGCAATGTTGGAAATTTGAAAGGTTAGAACTTTGCAAACTTAATACTTTGCTAGGTTAGAACTTTGCAAGGTTAGAACTTTGGAAGATTAAAACATTGCAATGTTGGAAATTTGAAAGGTTAGAACTTTGCAAACTTAATACTTTGCTAGGTTAGAACTTTGCAAGGTTAGATCTTTGGAACGTTAGAACTTTCGAAGAGCGAAACTTTGGAAGGTTTAAGACTTTGGAAGGTTGGAACTTGAAGGAGATGAAATTTGAGAAGGTGGAAATTTTGGAAGGTTGAAAGTTTGGAAGATTGTAACATGAGGAGCTAATACTTTCAGAAGGTTAAATTATTGGATGATTTAAACGTTGGATGGTTAGAACATTGCAATGTTGGAAATTTGAAAGGTTAGAACTTTGCAAACTTAATACTTTGCTAGGTTAGAACTTTGCAAGGTTAGAACTTTGAAAGATTAAAACTTCGCAAGGTTAGAACTTTGGAAGATTGGATCCTTGGAAAGTTGGAACTGTGAAACGTTAGAACTTTGTAAGGTTGGAACTTGAGAAGAACAATAATTACTATGTAACCGCCCGAGTTAATACCGCCAAAAATACGTGTGAGACGTCCATTTTTCAGCCTCTTCACGCGCCAACTCTAGGTTGACATCGGTAGCTCTTTTACAACTATCGTTAAACTTGTAGGTTAAGGCGTCCGATAATAGCTAATTATTTAATCAGACAAAGCTAATTATTTTGTAATATTAAAACCTATAACAAAAATTTAAATCTCAGATTTAGTTTGAATTTAAGAATCCATGATTTTACAAATTATTGATATTAAATTCTACATTCAATCGTGCAGCTAATTGTGATCGGTTGCATATATATAAAATGTAATGTATGTCACGAGTGTAACACGATATTAAAAGTCGAAGAATAACTCAGTCAAAGATTTAAAAGATAATTCATTATTTCCTTTGTCCTAAATTTTGTAATGCTATTCAGTGATCCTAGGATGTCTTTACGTACAGTAATTGTATTTCCAATGTACGTTAAAATGTTGACCAATGCTTCTATTTGGGGTAATCTTTCAACATTGTTGGAGCGAGTTACCGAATAGTATTGATTTTTAAAAGTCATGGAAGGAGATTCGTTTTATAAAAGGTTTCGAATTGTAATGGATTATTAAGTCGTTTGTCGATATATAAATAGATCTTTCTAGAATTTCAAATGGAAGACAAAGTTACTGAAATATAAAAATCGATATCGTTTCGGAAACTTTTATTATAACTTCTAACGAAATAATTTATGAACCCTGAATAATGGTTTCCGATGAAGTGATGTGACATTTATCTTTCAGAAAGAAGATATGACACTCAAAATTTTAATAAATTACGCAATATGAAGCTAAAAATTGAAAGTATATATTTTTCTAAATAAATAACTATATTTCATTGGCTTTTGTTTGGAGAGTTTATGTTACTTCATTTACAGCCACAGATAAATTAACCTACAGCCGTATCATCATTTAAATTGTGTAAATTATGCAAACACTATGAATTTTTCATCAAACTTTATTCATAACATTTTGCAACCCTAATAATTAACTAAATAGAAATTTTTATGCTCAAAATATTTGAAAATATTTCGATCATAAGACAACTGAAAACTGTCGATTTCTTTGTGTGAGGAATTGTTTTGTATTTCATGATACATTTTTGTTCCTCTATATAAATCATCAACTTGAGTTTGATATATTACATACGTCTGCCTTGATCCTCGTGCATCCGACGGTAATCCAGATTTAAACCATGCGTTTGGAGTATATCTGAAAATAAAATGTCAGAATATTAGACCGATTATGTTCATATTAAACGAGTCAGATATAATTATACCAGTTACTTTTTTCGGTAAAATAAATTTCGTATGAATACAGTTTTTAGCAATAAGTTTTAATCAGATTATTGTTGTAGGTACTTTTTGGTGGGAGTTGAGGAATTTAGAAATTTGCAAGCTTTAAATTTTCAAGCTTTTTACCTTTCAAATTTTCGAACTTTCAACATTTCAAATTTTCAAATTTTCAACCTTTTAAATTTTCAAACTTTCAACCTTTTAAATTTTCAAACTTCCAACCTTTCAAATTTTCAAACTTTCAACCTTTCAAATTTTCAAGCTTTCCACCTTTCAAATTTTCAAACTTTCAACATTTCAAATTTTCAAACTTTCAACATTTTAAATTTTCAAACTTTCAACCTTTCAAATTTTCAAATTTTCAACCTTTCAAATTTTCAAATTTTCAAACTTCCAACATTTCAAATTTTTAAACCTTAAAATTTTCAAATTTAAAAATTTTCAAGTTGCTGGATTTTAAAATTTTTTAATTTGGAAATTGTCAGTTTTTCAAATTTTGAAGTTGTCAACTTGTGAAATTTCTAAATTTTCATATTATCAAATTGTGAAATGACCAGATTGTCAACATTCAAATTCCCAAATTGTCGAATTGTCAAATTTGTAAATTTCATTCATATTTTCAATTTAATTCGTATTTTAAACTGTCGAACTGTCCAATCAACAAATCGTGGAGTTTGTAAATTTTTAAGTTGTTAAACTCTTAAATTGACGAATCGTTTAATTATAAAATTGTCAAATTGTGAAATTCTTAAACTATCAAATTATCAAATTACCAAATTGTCAAATCGTCAAATCGAGTAATGGACAAATTGTCAAATTATCAAATTATCAAATTATCAAATTATCGAATTATCAAATTATCAAATTATCAAATCATCAAATTACCAAATTGCCAAATTGTCAAATCGAATAATGGACAAATTGTCAAATTATCAAATTATCAAATTATCAAATTGTCAAAATATTTTTACTCCAATTATTTATCCGTTTGGGAATACCAAAAAAATTCAATAAGAAAGCATAGGAAGCTTTTCATTATTAGATAAGAAGTCTGAAAAGTTTCAATTCAGAATATACATCATCTTTAGAAGAAAATTTATTCGACGCCTTCATTATATGTAAGGCAGAGGTTTTAAGGGTGCCAAGTTCAAGTAGACTCGAGTCATTTCACTTTTAAATACGTCTGCTTCAACGCGGCTGTTAAGTTCTTTAAAAGCTTTCACTTGAATATTTGCATTCACGTGTGAATATCACTTAACCAAAACCGAATATGAAACTAAAAATACGTATATTAATAATACTATACCATGTTACTACGTATGTTATAGTGAATTCTAAAATGTAGAGATTTGTAATGTAAAAGTGTCACAAAATGACACTTGTGAAATTTAAGGTCATTCAGTATTAAAGTATTCAATTTTATTATTTAATAGTTTAAATAATAAGTAAAGTTCAATTTTATTATTTAATAGTTTAAATAATAAGTAAAGTTCAATTTTATTATTTAATAGTTTAAATAATAAGTAAAGTTCAATTTTATTATTTAATAGTTTAAATAATAAGTAAAGTTCAATTTTATTATTTAATAGTTTAAATAATAAGTAAAGTTCAATTTTATTATTTAATAGTTTAAATAATAAGTAAAGTTCAATTTTATTATTTAATAGTTTAAATAATAAGTAAAGTTCAATTTTATTATTAATAAGTAAA